CAAACAGTTATCAACCAGTTCAACTGAACTGGTGTGAACCAGCTGAATCCCACCACTGCCTCCTTGCCTTCTGTGGGGCATAGATTGTACCTCTTGCGTGAAACTGATAACCTCTCCCCTTTCCATTCAATCATATCTGTTTCTTGAGACTGCCTGAAACACATCATTTTTCTTGATAAAGTTTTTCAGAAGTAGTTTGCCATTTCCTTCTTCTAGGGCTGAGAGAAAATGGCTAGCCCTAAGTCACCCAGCTTACTCTGTGCCCAAGGCAGGACTAGAATTCATGGTCTTTTAGTTTCAGGCCTGATGCTTTACTGCTATGCCAAGCTGGCTCTTGATGTTTCCTTGGTAGCATGTAAGTGGTGCTTTTTTGTTGAAGAACTTGTTGAACTACCATCTCCTCTTCCTTTCCTAGTTAGAATATTCCCAGCTGCAGAATGGCAGCCATTCTGGTCACTTTTTGATACTCACACTGGAGTATCTAATAGTATTGAGCCAGTGGGAAGTATATCAGTATCCTATTTCTTGAGACTGGGTCCAAATACTTGTGAAATGAGATGTTTGTGGTGTTCTCTGAGCTTGGTTGTTTTCTTGCAAATGTTTTATTCCTTAAACTAGGTAACATTAATTAGCTTCATTGAGCACTGATGACATTACCTGGTTTGAGTAATGAAAGATCTGCAAGAAAATCACCAAACTCAGAAAGCACCAAAGACCCCTCATTTCAATTGTGAACTATAAATATCAATATTTATGAAATATTATTGTGAGCCTTTGAAACTTGGGTGAACATATACATTTGATTTTTGTTGTTGTTATTACAATAAGATATTTTTGTTTCTTATGTGATTATCTGAATAGTTAATGGATTAATATTTCACTTAAAAACCACATTGAAATGTTACATTTTCTGAGATGACAGAATGTTTTTCCTGAAATAATTTGTCTTTTTGCTTGTGAAAATATACAGTGATTCTTCAGGCTATGTACAGTCAAAAATACACAAAGCTGTGGAACAGTCGTGTTCACCTAGTTCCAGCTGTGATTTCAGAAAAATACAAATATTTTTTATTCTAGAATGAAAACATTTTAACTTATAAGCTATTAATTGCTTATTAGCATAATTCTGTGCTAACTGGGCAATGTGTGCTTCTGAAGGAACACTGAGACAGATCAGATTATCCTATGTTGATGAGATGACTTTGTTCTGGTAGTTTATGGCTATCCAAAGTCATCAGTGCAGCATTTTCCAAACAGAAGCCCATCTCCTCCGTTTCCTCCAAGACACCATTTTAATGATACACTAATATATGCCAATTTTTTTTTAGGTATGCAGTAATGAAGCCACTTGCATTTGTAGCACTACTTGGGCGGGTACAGATTGTAGCATGTTTGATCCTAGAAGGAAAGATGACTCAGAGAAACCAAGTGGACCAAAGGGTTTGTGTGATTTCAGTTCCTTTTACCACCATATAGTTATATTATTAACAGGAACATTTGTAACAAAGCATTTGAAAACTATTAAACTATTACATATATTTTATTTCTTTGTATACAAGTTTTACATCTATGGTCAGGAGGTATTTCACAAAAAGCAATGATATGAAAATATTTTGAATTTTGTTATTTTTCTAAAATATAGAAAAATATATTATTATAATTAATCCTAATAATAATTCTACCTATTGGTCTGGCAAAATGTCTAACATTTTAAATAGACTTTAATAATAAAGATTATATTTTTATATTTTAACACCTAAAAACCTTTATTAAAATAATGTATATATAGAAGTAATCTAATGTTCTTGGATATTTTCAGAGGTCATTTGTAGCACAGTTCTCTGCATATAGTACTGTTGAATTTAGTTGGAGTGGAAGTCTATGTAGGAAATAAAGCCTTGGATTACTTAACATGAACCTAATAAAAAAGTTACAGGATATTAATATATATTTGTAAAATCCAAGTTACTTATTTTTTTTATATTTGCAACTTAATAGTTTTTTTTTAACTGCAGCATGACTATTGATTTAAATATTCTGAATGCAAAAAAGCCTCTTTGAACCCACTGTAGGATCCCAAATACACAATTTAAAATCTTATGTATTTTAATACATTTAGAACAAATGCTCAAATATGACTGAGTAGCAGTTTGCATTTTTAAACCGGGCATCATTTGAATACTTGAATGATTTTGAATTTTATTACTGTATTTTCATGCCCATTCTTACTATCTAAGATGTTAGAATCCATTTAATTCCACCATAAATCCATTAATTAGGTGGAAAGGAATATTGGCTATAAGAATACAACCTACTGATAGTGGGGGACAGGGTTTCTAAATGGTATTATACTCTGTATTCATCGTTATACAGAAATTAATTCTGATAGACAAATTACTTATAGGGAGTTTTAATGCATTTAATATGTGTAAATTTTAGACTACCCTAATAAAAGAATGAAATGTTAGATTGTAAACATTTGAAAATTTCAAGAGGAGCAAAGCTAATATAAATGCTAGAAATTCATGAAATTATGTAAAACATTCATAAATGGCAAAAGGACAGAACTACAGAACCCCTGGGACTAGCTCTAGAAATAGGTACAAGGGTGTTTAAGGCTTTTCCAGTCCTGTACTGTGCCATTTTATAACAAAAAGCAAGCCTTAGTTGTAGCTTTTCTCTTCTCTCTCCAGCCTTATCCTTTTCCTAAATGAAAGCTTCAATAATAAAAGATACATACTCCATATTATGCAATTTAGGATTTGATTATCTCAAAGATTCCCATTTCTAGTGAGAGAAGAATTTCATTCCTCAAGATATAAAATTCACTGAAAATAAGTATTACTAAGGTTGTCCTTCTGTTACAATATTTTGATGATCCTTTCTTACTTCTAAAGAAAAATGCTTTGTGGAAAATAGAATTCTAATATGGCTCTGAAGGAAAATTTGGAAAATCTTTTGAAACTCCTTTGGATAAACCCAAACTTGATAAAAATAAGGGAAATGTAAGGGAAAAGGAGACATGAAGAGTGAATGGGAACAAACTGGTATTGAAAGAACATGTCTTTGCCTCCCAATTTTTCCTGTTCCTAGTTTTAATATTTCCTAATTTTGCATTTTGTTTACATAATGCAGATTATAATTTCAATTTGGAAACAAAAATTCTGCCAACATATTTATAGGGGAGTCTATAATCCTAGCCGTAATCTAATTTTAGTCATTAAAAGTCTGCAATATTTAAGAATATTCTTTTTCCAGCCAACCAACTAGTAACTATTTTAAAAACTCCACAACTAAAAATATTTTCAGTATTATACTTTTTCCTAAAAAAAGGTTTTCCCGATGCTCTGTAACTTTTAACATTTTCAAAGTGTAAAACTATTTCAGTTGGCTTTCAAAATACTGCTTTGCTTAGGTAAACCAATACGGGTAGTTCTTAACTTAACAACCCTTCATTTAGTAACTGTTTGAAGTTACAAAGCACTGAAAAAGTGACATGACTCTTTTTCATACTTACAATTGTTTCAGCACATCCCCACAGTCACATGATCAAAATTTGGATGCTTGACAGTTGACTCATATTTAAGACAGCTGCAGTGTCCCGAGGTCATGTGTTCACCTTTTGCAACCTTCTGACAAGCAAAGTCACCGGGGAAACCAGATTCAGTTAACAATCCTGTTACTAACTTAATGCGCAGTAATTCACTTTACAACTGTGGCAAGAAGGGTCATATAATGGAAAAAACCTCTCTTAAGAACTGACTTGCTTAGCAACAGAAATTTTGGGTTCAATTGTGGTTATAAGTTGAGGATACCTGTAGCTCTGAGATTTTTGTAAAACTTGAAAGCTGAAGAGAATCTTCATACTTTGCAAAAGTACTTATCAAAAAACCATCTTGTTTTCACTGCATTTGCGTACTTCATTTCTTTCACTCCTTTTACATATTTCAGGTTCTAAAGTTAGACTCAGAGATAAACTTTGAAATGTAATATTAAGAATTAAAACTGCAAGATATTTTCATACAATCAATATTTAAATAACTTTTCCCAATAAAATAATTTCCAGGTGGATAGGATAATAAATCTCATTGTGAGTTTGAAGCTAGAGAGATATTGGGAATTTAAAATACAGTTTGGTATTTATTTAGTAAAATACAACTGACTCAGAGAGGCTTCGGTGGAGGGTATTTTAGCATTGGTGAGATTCTGTGAGATCTGGAGGAAGCCATCATCTGACATTTGGGCAAGACACCCTATATTGCTGTTTATCCCACAGAGAATGAAGCACATTTCTCACATTACTTTTCTTTACTCAAACAAGGATATTCCATACTTCAAAACCCAGAGGTTTCAGGAAGATACTTTTGAATCTAATTCCTAAAGAAAATTGTAATCTCATAAAAAGTTAGGATGAACCTCAGCTGAATATTGATATGTATTTATCTATATATATAAAAGCGAAATATCACTTACGCACCATTACAAAATCTCCAGAACTATAAAGCCTACAAATTTGAAATTTGGCACATATATTCCTCTTGGCTTCTAGGTGTTCATCAAGAAAGGATTTTTCGAAATGACCATCAGAACATTAGTATTTCCTATATTATTATTAACACGCTCTGATGCTAAGGAGTTCTACTCCTCCTCCCCACCTGAAAAGAAATCTCTTCCAAATGCAAAACACAAGCAGAGGAGAGGAGTTTCAGTTTTAGTTTCACAGCACCAAGCAGCTTTAGTACAGAACAATTGAGCTAAGCCAAGCCCAGGCTCCTTTCTATCTCCTTCTTCCTCACACAGCAAATACTGTGTTTCAGTTTCCAAACAGCCCTCAACTCTCTCACACACTGACAGGACACTAGCCAGATGAGTACTGATGGATGCTGGTAGGCAGAGGCAAAATTTCTTCCCCTTATTTTCCTCCCCCAAAACTAAACCCAACCACATAGTTTCGTAGCGAAGCATAGGATTGACAACCAACAATCTTTATTATTCTGGTTAATAGATTATAAAATTTCTCTTTCCTTTTGCTAATCCTACGTAGTTGCCAGTTAGAATATAGCAGTTGTTTATTAGAGATTGTGCATAATGTAAGGCTAGATTGGAAAGGAAATCCATTTTTATGTGGAGTTAAAATTTTAGATATTAGAAACAGTTAAAAGTCTTGCGTTTATGTGTTTCTAATTGGGAAAGAAAATCCAATGTTATGGAACCTGCCAGTCTTAGTTTTGAAGAATAAGGACAGATTCAGGTTACACCAGGATAAATGAATTTTGTGTTGAACATGACACATTAATAAAAGATCTATGTCTCATCATTAATAAAGGTACATAACCATTAGCAGGGACTCACTTAATGTATGAAATGTTAGGTTTGGTGAACAGGCAGCCATCAGGGATCCTCTGCTTGCCCAGCCAAACTACAAATGAACAGTTTGAATGATGTCGATTAGGAACTACCGTGTTTCTCCAACAATACAGCCTCCCCCAATAGGAAGTCCCAGCATGTTTTATAGTCATAAAATGAAATTAAGCCCCTCTCCCCAAATTAAGGCCTATATTAAACAGGCGAAATGGGGGGAATGGCGGGGGGGGCTTGCCGTTAGGAAGTACTTTTGTTGCATACCTAGATATGGTGCTGCCTGCATTGACCTCAGCGTTGGTGGGGCACTTCGTATCGGGAGACCTTCCACCACCATTGCTTTCCCTTCTCCCCATGCTGCCGCAGCGTTTAGAGCAACGCCGTGGCGTTTGGCGCAGCCATGCGGTGTTTGGCGCAGCTACATGTGGCCAGCCAGGGCTCCTCCCTGCAACTGGAGCCTGGCAGTGACACTCAGCTTCAGGCGCTCCTGTCGCCGCCTTCCTGGGCATCGTTCAAAGGCAAAGCCTATTTTAAAAACGACGCCCTACTACTGGTATGACAAAGCCTTCCCTGCCCAAGAGGGCAGCCCAACCCCACGTGGGAGGCAAATCTCCCGGGGCCGTACCACAGGATCAGCCCACCCTGGGAGAAGTGCCCAGCTGCCATCCCTGCCTGGCGCCATGCAGAGCGCAAAGAGCTTCACCTGGGATGCCCAGCACAGCTGATAGGTGGGTTCCCCTGTCCGGCAGTGGAGCTCTCACCAGGGCAGCAAGCGCCTCCCTGCCAGACCCTCCGTTCATCCCGCCAAGGCCGCACCAGAGCCATGCGGGCTGGGCAGAGCCGGGAAAGCGAGCCGCAGGTACGCACCCGCCTGCCAAGCGAAAGAGCCAGGCTGACCCGAGCTTGGCTTCCTTCCCAAGTCCCTCCAGCCTGAACCCATAGGGGCCACTGGGAGAGGCTGCCCGAGGCAGTGATAGCGACCACCTGTCCACAGACAGGGAGGCGAGGCGACGGCAGCACTGCTTCCCTGGCCGGCGGATCCAGCGGAGAGAGCCCAAAGCTGTTCGTCCTTTCCACCCCTCGCCCAGCCCGTCCCCATCTCCACACATCTCCAAATGCGCCGGCAGCTCAGAGGAGGACGCAGCATGAGCCGTCGCCTTGCCTCCCTGTCCATGGATGGGTGGGCGCTATCATTGCCTTGGGCGGCCTCTCCCGGTGGCCCCTTTGGGTTTGGGCTGGAGGGACTTGGGAAGGAAGCCAAGCTCAGGTCAGCCTGGCTCTTTCGCTTGGCAGGCAGGCGCGCACCCGCGGCTCACTTTCCTGGCTCTGCCCAGCCCGCCCAGCTCCAGCGCGGCCCTGGCGGGATGAGCAGAGGGCCCAGCGTGGAGGTGCTCGCTGCCTTAGTGAGAGCTCCACCGCCGGGCAGGAGGGCCCGCCTGTAAGCTGAGCTGGGCACCCCAGGCAAAGCTCTTTGCACTCTGCCTGGTGCCAGGCAGGGATGGCGGCTGGGCGCTGATCCTGTGCTGCGGCCCCAGCAGATTCGCCTCCCCACGTGGGTTTTGGCTGCCCTCTCAGGCAGGGGAGGCTTTGCCGTACCGGTAGTAGGGCGTCGTTTTTAAAACAATAGGCTTTGCCTTCGAACAATGCCCAGGAAGGCGGCGACAGGAGTGCCTGAAGCCAAGTGTCTCCTCCGGGCTCCAGTTGCGGGGAGGAGCCCTGGCTGGCCGCGGTTGGCTGCGCCAAATGCCGCGTGGCTGCTCTAAACGCTGTGGCAGCACAGGGAGAAGGGAAAGCAATGGTGGTGAAGGTCTCCTGATACTAAGTGCCCCAACAACGCCGAGGTCAACATCCAAGCCGTCGCCACCCGCCCTCCCAAGGGTGCAAGGGGGGGAATTAAGACACCCCCGAAAAGACGGCCTAGCAGTTTTTGGGGGGGTAAAAAAAAAAAGGCCCAGCCTTATTTTGTGAGAAACATGGTACTTCATCTGCCAATGGAAAGCTGGAGGAATCCTTCTGGAGAACCATTTGTAATAGTGGCCGATAGCTCAGACTTCAAACAAATTCATATTCATGTTTTTCTCCTTCTATTGTCCTATATTTCTATAAATCCTGGAATGATTCGAGTAACATTTTTTTCATATTTTTAAAAATCTTCAATATTTGCCATATTTAGGCAATGCTTTAAAAAAATTGAAAAGACCATAATCAAAGTTTTCTTGGGTGTTTGGCTCACTAATCATAATGCAACATACTCGCAATAGTTCAGGAGTGTGCTGTTATTTGTTCATAGAATATGTGTTTTTAAACAGTTATCAGTACTGTATTCTCTAGAGCAGTGTTTCTCCACCTTGGAGTCCACATATCTGAAGGCTGCCAAGGTTGAGAGACACGGTTCTAGCATTTATCATGAAGGCCCATCAAACCAATGTATCCCTCTGTGAGTACCGATGTGGGCATCACTCATTATTTTCAGCAGACAGCTGATGCATATTTTCTATGTAAAGCTAGCCATGGGTAAGGCCCTGAAAAAGGAGAATTCTAGTTGATTGCATATAGAAAAGAGAAGCACCATTTCAATGTACATCTTTTGCAGTGCATGCAAACTGCAAAGGAGCTGCAAAACTGCAGTCAATCCAGGCCTTTCATCTTCCTTGTTACAGCTCTACCCATGAATGCATTACAGAACATTGATCAATTTTTAAAACAAATTGCACTTAAATATGCAGAATTATTTCTCGAACTGCTAAAATGAATTTTCTACAAAATAAATGACAGAGAATGGTATATCATTTTGAGGTGCCATATGATTTTTCTTTTCAGATTATGTCATAACTGTCTTTTTAAAAGATCTTCCCTCTTCCCTCTATACAGTGAGCATGGCCACTAACAGGCTTATAGGTGCAGTGGCAGGGACCATTCTGGCACTGGGGGTGATATTTGGAGGCACAGGGTGGGGAATAGAGTAAGCATATTTATTAGTTTCAGAGTTTTATGTTTGGTGCCTACTGTGTGAGGTAACTGTACGCATCTGATCCCTCTGTGTACTCCAACTAGCTTTGTGTTTTGTGGTGACTGTATTTGTCATGTGATTTGAACATTTGTGTCGTGTGATATGCTCACGTAATGTTTAACTCTCTCCTGTCTGGGATAATGTGGGGCATAAAACAATAGTTTGTCAATTTTGTAGCACCATAATTAATATAATTCAATGTTTATATGTTTTCAATGCTCTAAATTATAAATAAAATTTCAAAAACAAATTATAGCTTAAAAAAATTGTGTAATAGATAACTTAGTGCACTTGATATAGTTTGGTTTATTGCCGGAAGCATTCAGAGGAATAGTAAGTAAAAGTACATGATTTAAATAATTAAATAATTAAAAAGTAGAATTGTCCAAATCACTGTTTTTCAATCTCATCCACTTTAAGATGTCTAAACCAGCTCCCAGAATACCTCAGCCAGCATGTCTGAAATCCAGACACCTTAAAGCGACTAAGGTTAAGAAACTCTGACCTAAACCAATAATGTTTGGTGCTGTAGCATCTTAGCTGAGTAAGGGAGCTCTGTACATAGAAACAGCTTTCTTCATGCAGAGCCAGTGAGCATCCAAATATGCATTGGATGTGCATTCCCACCAGTGCTGGGAGGACCATGAATGTTTTCTTGGCCTAGCGAGAGGCTATTTTGATGATCATAGGTCTCCTCATCTGAGCTTATCTGTGGTTTATGTTACTAAAATTGGATCAAGGCAGTTATGAATATTTATATTAAATGAGATGAATTATTTTGAAATAGTTAACATGGGTATTATTTACATACATATTGATGTATCAACCATATATTTGGTTAAAAATAAGAGCAACATTTAGGAACTTTATACGAACATCATTAGATAGTCTTTATAGCAATATCATTAGAATTAGTTGCCCTTTTTATTTGATTTCATTTCAAAAAATGCATGCTCCTATGTATTCTGACTACTCTATTTATACAATCAAGAAATTTTTTTGCTGTTATTTCTAGAATAGCAGATTTTTCAGATAACTGCACATTTTTCATAACACTGCATCTGTCCATCCATCCTGTTCTTCAACCTGATGGTGGCATTTTGATGTTAGGAAGATCAAGCTACCAAAGAAAGCAGAGACAGCATTGGTGGCTGTAGAGAAGAGGAGAGAATCCTAATTTTCTTATTATGATTCATCTAAAATTAGATTTTCTTAAAATCTAAAGTGTTTTGTTAGTAGTAGTAGTGATACTATCATAAGTAATGACTGCTTACTTTTTTTGCATTAGTATGTGATCTGTCTACAATTTTGTTTTAAGAATTGATAAATATGAGCATTTTACAGAAAAATCATTGTTAATCCCAACTATTACAATTTTTTCAGTAAAATTTGATTAAATAACAGTAGCATTAAATTTCTGACTAATAGCAGCTGAAGCATCATTAAATGAGGAAACTATCATTCTTCATCATGCTAGATATTAAGATGCTTGTGGAGATCCTTTATAATAAAGAATTTGAAGGAGTATGATGGCCCTCAATAGAGGAATTGTTTTTGTATATTGCGTTAGTTGGAATCTAATAGAAGGGAATGTTTAACCTAGCAGTCATCCAGCAGATTAATTCCTTGATTGACAAAGAAAATTAACTTGCTGCACAATGGAAATCCAGTTTGGATGATCAAATTTCTTATTCTCTAAATTGCCAAAAGCAATCTTTCTCTATTTATATGCCACCATTTTCATAAGAAAAGATGTTTGCAAATGCATATATTGCATTCATTATTAGATATTCATCCTAGTGCTTCAAAGTTGACTCAAGTGAAGTTCTTCTGTGGGTAGCTGGTTGAAGTATGACCTTCAAGCCAAAAAGCACACCAGGCATACGAAATGTCTTGCCAGGAAGGAATATAGAGAATTTCCCATATTGTAAATACATAGTGCTCGTCATATTAATAGTAGGGGGGCTACTTTCAGGCACTCCATCTTTCCTATTACTTACACTTAACAAGATTAGCCATCTCTCAAGTAAGCAGGTGAACAAATAAAAAAAGATGGGCATGCTTCTAGGCTGGGATAAAATAAATAATTTTCCTCTATAAATAATCACAATTTCCAATAGCACTTGCATAAAATCCTGTTTTTTAAAATTTAAAAACAAATTGTTTTTAAATGTCCATATTAGTTTTAACTATGGATTTTTTTTAACAGTGGTAGCACATGTTCAAAATCATCTCTAATCTGTGTCTTGCTTTTTAAAAGACTATATTGTGAATCTAAAACAAAATATTAAATCAGATATATATCTTTTTGTTGTGATTGCATTTGAGAAGTAAAATAGTGATGGTATTTGTTGTTTTAAGGATCAGCTTTGATAGAAATACTCAAGTACACAATGATTTACAATGCCACAGGAGACATTTACTTCACTCATTAAACAAAAGTCTTTTTGGTGTACATGGAATATAAATAAAATTTGAAAGAATAGACCCAGGACTTGTCACTTGACTTCTATCACCCACAGGTGATTGGACTTACAGGTTTTGCACTTATTTTCATGTACCAATTTAGCTATTGTTTTTTGTTATTTTTAGTTGTCTTTTTAATTTTTCCCTGTTTCTCCTGATGCTGCTTTTTTCTTTTTTGCTCTTCAAAATTCTTCCAAACTTCATCCAATAATTTAAAAAGTTAGTTGTCTATCAAGTAAAGAAGCATACTATCTGACTTTTTGATTTAAAAATGTTTGAATCCTGCAAAATTGTAACATATTTGTGGCATTGTAAATGTTTAAATAAGTTTAAACTCCAATGTTTCATTAGTAAGAAGTATTCCAGGGAAGTGTTAGTTTGTACATGGAAGCATAATAGAAAATTCATCTATCTCCAAAAAAATTCTTCATATAGCTTTTAAATAACTTTGGCCCACTTTAAAATGTTTCTTTCAAATAATTTAATAGCTCATTTATTTTAAATTGTTTTACTACCTTTCCCTGGAAGTGAATGAATTAAGTGGTTGGTTCTGATCTCTTTCTTCCCATCACCCTTTGTCACAGGTCCTAGCGCCACCAATCTTATAATAGGTTCCATCGCTGGTGCCATCCTGGTAGCAGCTATTGTCCTTGGGGGGACAGGATGGGGCTTTAAGTAAGCAATGCCGCATGTCTTTTTTTCAGTGGCTATAGCACTTCTTCCTGCTTACATCACTAGATTTTGAGTTCCTGCTACAAGATCTCAAGTAATGGTTTACTTTTTAAAAAATCCATATTTTGTAAAAGACCAAGTATCTTTTATGAAATCTCAGAAATGTCACCAGAGTGCAAAGTTGTAATATAGAGTATCTAATAGAGTCATGCAACATAGGCTAAAAAGGCATTTTAGTAATGCAGCAAATTACTGCATCTCACTCTTTGGATAGTATTAAAGATCTTCAACCTAAGGAAGCTTGTGAAACTGCCGTGGACATGACCAGTGCAAAAATGTTGCCCTAAAAAAATAGCTATTTACAAAATGCTACCCTGAGGGCTTCAGTAGGGCCCCAAAAGCCTGAATTCAAAACAGTTCAATTCCCAAATGTCAAAATAAATACTGTATTACATCCCAAGAGCACAATAAAAAAATCATTTTGCAGAAGAAAACTGACAAGGTCAATAAAAATATGTAACTCACCCAAGTAGTATGAGGCTGACATTTGAACCAAATCTTAAAACTATTTTTTTCATCTTAGGAGAGCATAGTTTAAATCAAGCAGTATTATTGATACAGCCCTCCTCTTGGCAGAAACCCCAATCTGTAAAATGTGTAAAAAATTTTACATACACAAACTCATTTCATAACCTCATCTATCCCTCCGTATCTTGACTGGAATTATTTTTCAGTGAGTTCTTTCAGCACTTACATATTTTAAAAATAAGTTGAGTTGTACAGCTGATGCCTCTATACAACACTTTTGTAGCTTTATCTATGTATTCCTAACAGTAAATATATAATGATTTTGACTCTTTGAATTGACAGTGGAAAAAAATAGAATTTTGAAAAATATGCAGCAAAATGGCAACATGATAGATATGGCCCAACATAAAATGCAGTTTTAAAAAAGACAACCTGATCTGTTCAAGTCCAAGTGACTTTTCCAAGAATCTGAATTTGAAACTAAGAAGGAAATGTTTCCAAGTTCATGGTTGTCTCATTTTTTTCTCAAGCTAAATAAGGTGAGAGAAATCTAGGACTTTTGTATCTTCATATAAAATGCTACACACATAGATAGATACAGAGAGAGCACATACGTTTTTCTGTTAATAGGATGAAGCTTAAGATGTCTTTCTAGGTAGAATGCTTAATGATAATGGTTCAGCAAAAACTTAATAGTAAATCAGTTGCTTTAGTGCAATTGCCCTATGTAAGAATTAGTAAATGGGCCTAGGAAACCTCTAGTTGTGTGCAAGCAGCTTTCACAATTTATCTGGACAGTTGGGGCATAGGGGGTGAGGGAGTGATAGAAAAAGTCAAAATAGCAACATACCTCAAAAATTCTATTATTTAGTTACAACTGTTATCTTGAGGGTTTTAAATCTCCCCTTACCCCATGGACACACTGCATCCAGTTCCTTGACAGTTTTTGTTTGTTTGTTTGTTATGAGGGGATGAAAGAATGTATCATGGGGAAGTTAAAAGGAAGTATTTCTCTTATATCAATTGATATAAAGTACTATATAAAACAAAAATAAGGTGTATTTTTATATAAAACTAAATAAACACAGATCTTACAAATTTTGCAAGTAGTGTATTTTATATATTATTTGGACATATGAAATATGCTTACTAATAACATGTCCTGTTTTTAATTCTGTTCAGATCGTTGAAATAATAATTTACTTCTTAATGTCTTTAAAACAAGATTATATTCCCTTTTAGAGGGAATTGAGGTAAGGACATTAGTCCACTTCACATTATTCTCTACACCTAAAAAACAAATGTTTGTAGTTAGAGACGTGTTAGGAAGGTTCTCCCGTGAGGACTTGGAGCAAAATCAGTCATGAGGGGGGGGGGCCTCTAATACAGAACTTTGCCTTCTAGACTGGGAAGGCAAAGAAGGAAGTGGACGTGCATTCATCCCCACTATCACACATACAATTTTATAAGAGGGCTGATATGTGATGAAAAGGGCTGTGTGAGTCTGTAGCACAAGCATAATCTAATTAACTTCCTTTATAAGTCATGCACCAGAAACTGTCATTAACCAAAATCAATACAGAAAGTACTAATTATTAAAACTGTAATACCAGTTTTTCAAATGTTCTTGAGCTACTGTTCTTAACATTCTTCACTACTAGCCACACTGATTGGAATTACTAGAAGTTGTTATTGATTTGATTCATAACTTGTTTAATCCACAGTTTCTTGAATAACTTGCTGGAATCATGCAAAAGCCTAAGTTATAAACGAAGGACATTGCTTTTTATGATCACAAGATTATGTCATCAAAATTCAGTAAGACATTGGGCACCTTTTAGGAGCATTTTTTGTTTTTGTCTTTGTTTTACAAATAAAGCATCTGACAAGAAAGAGGAGGAAAAAGGCTCAGAAAAAAAACAGCAAAAAATTAATGTCTAAGAAAAATGCCTCTTCCTGCAGGTATTTATATGTGACTTATCTTACATTCAAAGGACTCTACTCAAATAGTACTTTGCATTTTGTGTGACATTTACATAAAAATTATAAGATATATTATGAATATCTGTACCTGTTGTATCTGTATGGATAATCATGCAGTGTAAACATCTTAATAGTTCTCTTGCTTTTTTATAGAAAACTATTTTACTCTGTAGCAGAACCTCAAATACGATGGCCTCGCCTAGCTCTCAGCTTGAAGTGCATGTTTCTTTGGGCTAAAGTTGGGGGGGGGGGGAAGGTAGATTTTCTCATTAGAATCTAGAGAGGTCTTCTCATATTTTGCTGCTTCATTTAGTATGTATGAGAGGCTTAAGAGAACTCAGAGTATTTATGTTATCTGCTGATAATATTACTATATGCAACAATAACCACTTCTATAATTTAAGTTTATATTTTAAATTTAAAAAGGCAAAATATAAAGATTTTCAAAATGTCAAATGGAATACTTCACGCTTAAGGAATAATTCTATAGAAACAAGTAATTTTAGTGTGGCATCTTAATACCTATCTGAGAATGTTCTTTTCTGAGCATTCTTAATTTGGGTCAGGACTGAAACCCTTCACTCATCCTGGACCCTTATCCTCACTGCATCCTCTGAGGGCCAGGTGACCCTTCCAGTTTGTGAAAAAACATCACTGTCTGCAGCGAAAGGAGAAAATGGATGAGATTCGTAAGAGTAGCTTGAGGGGGAAGGATAGTCCATAATGAGTGGTGTGACTTTTCATTCATACGCTTCTGGATCCAACTCATTATGTTCCTATTATGATACTATATTGTCTAATGAAAATTCTTCTTACTATTTATGTGATAGATGTTAACTTTCTTCAGATGCATGAAAAGTTGAATTCAAATATTTTTGGCGTAAACATTTGTAAAGGTTCTTTCATGAAGATACTAAATTTCTATATGATTTGGTCTAAAATGTTTAGTTAGAATCAGCATTATAATGGAGAATAAAACAATATTAGTGTTGTTTTATAGGTATAAGTGTCTGCCTCTCCTCTCGAGAATTCTTGAAACAATTAGTATTTCAAAAAGAGCCTTTTATTGAAGAAAAGAGATAGCAAGACAAAAGGAAACAGGATATGAGGATAGCAATTCATTTAGGTTAAGGCAGTTAGAGGTCCCTCCCCTCAGTCCAGTGTTGAATAAGCCAGTTGACAGATGCAAAGTTGTTTTGAGAATCGCTGGCTGAAGCTGTTCTCAGGTGTCTCTTGCTGGAGGCTCCGGAGCTGAGACAAAACAGATGGCCCTCCCCCCTTATATTCCCAGGAAGATAAGTCAAAATACAGGTTAAATAGGCACCAGGAAGAAGGTTATAAATTAAAGAATACACCCAGGGCCTCTCCCCACCAAAATGGCAGCATCCTAACAATAAGGCTGCTGAGCTCTGAATTAAAATTGATCTTTCCCTCCTTTTTTATATCCCAACTTGTTCTGGATTCCTATAAGCATTCTGAAATATGTATCCATGATCCAAAAGCATTTTAATTAAAATATATAATTCATAGTATACATTATTATGGTCTTTTGACTGAGATGGGTGGTTATAGAAATTGAATAAATAAATAATTGTATTGATGTGCATGATAAACGGGTACATTTTTATGCCATTTATTACTTATAAGGCACAGAGGTGAATGGATAGATGGATACAAGGCAAGTTTTTTATGTTTTGTTCAGTGATGGGATTCAAAAAATTTTACTACTGGTTTTGTGGGTCTGGTGTGGCTTGGTGGGCATGGCTTGGTGGTGTGGCAGGGGAAAGATATTGTAAAATCTCCCTTCCTACCCCACTCCTGGGGAAAGGTTACTGCAAAATCCCATTCCCTCCCCACTCTACTAACCTGCTTTTCAGCTCTGTTCTTCTATGCAGGGCAACAAAAGAAGACCCAGACGCTCAGTTGAGATTAGGGAGGCGGAGAATAGATGGGGGCAGGGCCAGTCAGAGGTGATATTTGCCAGTTCTCCGAATTTCTAAAAATTTCCACTACCGGTTCTCCAGAACTGGTCAGAACCTGCTGAATACCTCCTCTGGTTTTGTTAACGTTTATTGGCTTTGTTAAAGTTATATGGCTAGAATTAAATTATTTTCCTGCTTAGCATAAAAAAAGAGTTGCCTACTGTTAGGTAGGATTGCAAAATCTGTTTTTGCATTGTGCAAATTGTTTCTCCATACCAGAGACAGCCAATTCCATCTTATTACTCCCAGCCTGTTGCCAAGGAACTAGAATGATATATTGTCATTCTTTTTTTCCATAAGGCAGTAAGTTTAAATGCATTCAGTAGACTTTTTTCTCTCATCTGCTATTACATCGTTTCTGATTTTAAAGACTTGTGGATACAATTTCATACAGCAGAGGAAAGCAACTTTCTTCTTTTGAACTTCTGTCAAGGGGTAAAGACTTTAATAGGATGCAGTCACTTAATAAAAATAGCAAATTATCACTTTGAAACATGGGCTTCAGGGAGTGGTCCTCTATCATAATTCATGGCTTGGGTCGTCTCATTTCATCCAAGAGTAAAATACTATATTGATGAGCTTCCCTTTAGTGGGAATGGCCAGTTTCAATTAAACAAAAATTCTGGACAAAGTCCAAAAGTGAAAAGTAGAGCTTCTTGTAAGAATAGCCCAATTCATTAATAAGCAAGGGGAGAGCAGCATGTCAACTAGAGGCTGCACATAGTCCAAAGCTACGAGATATCTTACTCCCGAATTTCAGCCGATAACCAAAGAGAAGCAGATGAACAATATTATAAGAAGTTTATACCTTCCTTTAGTGTTAATTCACCAGAAGCAAAACCGAAACAAAACAAAAATCCAGGAACCTCCTCTCCTCCAAATGCCACCCTTGTCCATTTTGGAATCCTAATTGCTTCACTATCCAATTATTGTAGGCTTAAGCTATACATTTTTGGAAGAAGTAAGGCTTACAGTCAAAGATTTTCTCTCCATCCTGCATTCAAATCACGTAGCAACCAGTTTTCAAACTATTTCACCATGAAAATGTCAGTTTTCTTTTGGGAACTCCTGATCTTTTTCCAGCTTTCAGTTTTTACAGTTCTTCAGCATGTTGAAGAGTTGGCTGTTTGATGATAGACTGCTTTGAAATAAAATGTCAATAGGAAACAATCATCGTTGGGATGAGACATTGCCCAGAATGCTAGTTTCTTTTCCTCCATTGTGCAGCTGATAGCTGTTCTTTCTCTCTTTTTCCTCATTCACTAAGCTCCAGATAGCAACCACGGCGATTCTCACACAGCAGGATAATGATACTGCATGGAAGCAACTTTAGAACTATGACAAATTACTTTCTCATTTTGAAGAGCATTTGCTTCATTCCAGCACAGGCATTTTCTTTGCCTTCTTTATCGAAGGGTTGTTTTTTCATTACAATCTCAAAGGATGTATATTTTCATATTTTGATCTGGTCCAAGTATGTTTCGTATTTTGCTTTGAGTTTCCACTTCTGTCTTTTGGTGTTCATGGAATGTTTATCAAATTCTGTCTTTGAAAACACACATTATAAGATTATTCTAATAAAGTTGGTATAGCAAAATTATCTAGCAAGGCATTGTAAGTAAATATACTTCTGGTAGAGTACTTCCTACAAGCATATCTAAATTAGTTGTAATAAAATGAAAATAAAAACAGTTTTTATGAGGACTGAATTCACAATAATTAACTATCCAAGAATCTTTAAAGAATTGCTAAACATATGCAAATTTCATTTATGGGTTTATATACAGGTGAAACTGGAAAAATTAGAATATCGTGCAAAAGTTCATTTATTTCAGTAATGCAACTTAAAAGGTGAAACTAATATATGAGATAGACTCATTACATGCAAAGCAAGATAGTTCAAACCATGATTTGTCATAATTGAGATGATTATGGCTTACAGCTCATGAAAACCCCAAATCCACCATCTCAGAAAATTAGAATATTACATGCAATCAATAAAACAAGGATTGTACATAGAACAATATCGGACCTCTGAAAAGTATAAGCATGCATATGTACTAAGTACTTGCTTTGGGCCCCTTTTACAGCAATTACTGCCTCAATGTGGCATGGCATGGAAGCTATTAGCCTGGGGCACTGCTGAGGTGTTATGGAAGACCAGGATGCTTCAATAGCGGCCTTCAGCTCTTCTGCATTGTTCGGTCTCATGTCTCTCATCTTTCTCTTGGCAATGCCCCATAGATTCTCTTATGGGGTTCAGGTCAGGTGAGTTTGTTGGCCAATCAAGCACAGTAATCTCACGGTCATTGAACCTGGTTTTGGTGCTTTTGGCAGTGTGGGCAGGTGCCAAGTCCTGCTGGAAAATGAAGTCAGCATCCCCATAAAGCTCGTCTGCAGAAGGAAGCATGAAGTGCTCCAAAATCTCCTGGTAGACAGCTGCGTTGACCCTGGGCTTAATGAAGCACAGTGGACCAACACCAGCAGATGACATGGCTCCCCAAATCAACACAGACTGTGGAAACTTCACGCTGGACTTCAAGCATCTTGCAGTGTATGCCTCTCCATTCTTCCTCCAGACTCTGGGTCCTTGGTTTCCAAATGAGATGCAAAAGTTGCTCTCATCAGAAAAGAGGACTTTGGACCACTGAGCAACAGACCAGTTCTGTTTTTCTTTAGCCCAGGTAAGATGTTTCTGATGTTGTTCGTTGTTCAGGAGTGGCTTGACAAGAGGAATACGACATTTGAAGCCCATGTCCAGGATCCATCTGTGTGTGGTGGCTCTTGATGCACTGACTTCAGCCTCAGTCCACTCCTTGTGAAAGTCCCCAACACTTTTGAGTGGCCTTTTCCTGACAATCCCCTCCAGGCTGCGGTCATCCCTGCTGCTTGTGCACCTTTTTCTTCCACACTTTTCCCTTCCACATAACTTTCTATTAATGTGCTTTGATACGGCACTTTGGGAACATCCAACTTCTTTTGCTGTTACCTTTTGAGGCTTTCCCTCCTCATGGAGGGTGTCAATTATGGTTGTCTGTACAACTGTCAGGTCAGCAATCTTTCCCATGATTGTGATTCCTACTGAACCAGACTGAGAGGCCATTTAAAGGCTCAGGAACCTTTTGCAGGTGTTACGGCTTAATTAGCTGATTAGAGTGGGACACTTTGAGCCTAGAATATTGCACCTTTTCACAATATTCTAATTTTCTGAGATTGTGGATTTGGGGTTTTTTTGAGCTTTAAGCCATAATCACCTGAATTATGACAAATCATGGCTTGAACTATCTTGCTTTGTATGTAATGAGGTATCTCATATATTAGGTTCACCTTTTAAGTTGCATTACTGAAATAAATGAACTTTTGCACAATATTCTATTGTTATTGTATTGGTAAAACATAAACTGTAAAACTATAAAAATGAGTATTGTAACCTTTGTCTATATTTTATGAGATCTGAACTCATGCAATATATTTCTCTTCTTCCAACATGCACGACTTTGTCTGGCATTTTTTTCTATTTGGGAAAAGAGATTTATTTCATGCGAGATCAGTTACAAACTATTTAAAAGACTGCTAGATAAGGTAGATGATACTGGGGTTTTCAGTAGTGGTGGCAAGAATAATGTCTTAAAAAGTAAAGACACCTGCATGAACATAGAGATAGAAATTCATTTTAATGGTATACTTCATAGTGTTATTTCCTAGAGAGGGATTTTATCAGATCAGTAGTTGAAGTAGACTACAGCCCTATGTATACTTAATTGAGGAAAAAAACTGTTGGAAATAAACAAGATTTAATTCTGATTAAATATGGAAGAATTGTGAGTAGGAATAGCCTTGTTGATTATATTTACTGCACAAAGTATAGAATTCACAAATTCAACGCTTAATTGGCAAATTAAATATGGTAGTTTCCATAAGGCTAGTTTTCACATGAAAATAGTAGATGAAAGATGAGGTTGGAGCCCACAATGTGGCCAATTTTTCCATGTATTGTTTCATTTTATATACACTGCCAAATGCATAACTTTTTAAATTGTTTTGTTGTTTTTAAGATACACTGTCATTCTAACTGACATTAAAATGTAAGATTACTGTACTATATAATTGTAAATCTATAGAAAATTGTAGGTTTGGGCATTATTTTTAATACATCTTTAACTGTAGGTTTCGGCATTATTTTTAATACACTTTTCATACATCATTAAAACATTTGGGGGTATGAAAACATAGCAAAGGCGTAGTGTTCAAATCTTCATTTTCATAAAGTCCACAGAGAGAACCATTTTAGCTTGTTTTAGTAAAAGCAGTGTTCTGTGATGTCTTTGAGGACAAAAAAAATCATTGTTGCTTAAAATTTTGTAAACAAGATTCAAGAAATATCCTGAGTTGTAACATGAGAATAGAAGAAAAATAACTGACAATAGGACGAATATTGTATACTATGAAAAGTAGCAAATTTGTAGAGTTGAAACAGTCACTTACTTCTGAGAGCAGCAATTGTAATAATTAATGTCTTAGCATAGTTATATCAAATCTGCCAATGGCATGAGTATTACTGTATTACACTGGAATATTCATTCATTGTGATGCAGTATATATTTGGAAATGTATGGCATATACAAAAGCATATACAAAAGCCAATTGAAATATTGTTATAACAGAGCTGTAGCTATAAACTGCAGGTTTCAAATATATAGTACAGAAGTATATAGTACAAAAGTGAATGTTAAGTGTGTTCTTTTGGCAATCATCTATACTTTACTAGCAAAGCAAGTACTAGCAATAAAAACAGCAAAATCTCTTTAATTTGAGCATGCAGTGGAAGAACTAAAGGCTTTTATGTTTCTTAAAGTTAGGGAAATTGTGAAATTCTGTTCTATGTGTTACTGCATGATAAGGTGGTGGTGGAGCAGTGCACACGCACATTGTTAAGACTAAATGCATGACTCCCTTGCTTGATGCCCCACATAAAGCCAGATTATGGGGAAGTTGCATCCAATTTTTGTGTTGCTTTGTAATGCCTTGCTGTTTAGTTATATAGCATATTTATATAAGGCAAGAGAATGGACCTTTATACTAAAAGCTTTTTCTGTGCTAATGACATGGACACAATTTCAATAATGCAATTAACACCTCCATTCTGCTTTAAGAGCCGTTTCTGTCTGGAGAAAGAAAGTATATATTGCACATTGCAGTTATGGGCTGACACAAAAGACATCATACATTACAGTCCATTGGATAGGTCAGCAGAGTTCTTCTCTCTTAATACTGTACAAAACACTATGTAGGATTACATTTTCATTTTCATTTAAATATTGCTGTCAGAACTCTGCTTTGAAATCTTTTAAATATGAAACTTTTTCAAGGTTACATGTAGGAAGTCTGAATGTGAGCCCATACTCTAATGTGATGAATATGACTTGTGGTTCCCATATGCCTCACTAGTCTATTTCTTATTTCCTATCTCTCCTTTAATTGGAAGAAATGTAAAAAAGAGAAGATACGATCCAAGTCAACAAGGCATCTAAGAAATTCCCTGGAAGAATGTGGCTGTGCTTGAATGTGGACTCTGGCTATGGAGGCTCTTTGAAGCAGCTGGCTCTTCCTGCGACAGAAGCATACCAGCCATTGTCTACCAGTGGCAAGCGGAGGCATTTGTGAAAGGGCTAAAGGAAAACTGTCCTTTACGGGAGATTTAAATTCAAGGACTTCCTCCACTCATTTCTCTCTTTTTTTGGGGATGTTAGGGACAAAACAAACTTTGGGAAGGAACTATTTCGCCTATTTTTTGTTCTAAACAAAAATGGAACAAACAAACCAAGCGCAATAAGTAAACACTTTCAAACTATTTAAATAGGTAAAGAATTTCTTAATAATTTGATTTCGCATGATGTTTTAATATTAATGGCAGACTCCAGTGGCATGATAATTTCTGAAATGGTGAACTGCATGGCATAAACACAGCAAACGAGCTAGCAAGAGGGTCCCAAATAAAATCTATTTACCAAGAACATGATGGAACAAAACACAGAAGAGCTGATTCTAGGTTTTACCTATGAAACAGGATAATTCCTTAATTCTACCTAATATAGGTATTCTTTATTTTGTTTATTTATTGCTTTGGGGCAAACCTCTTTGAGGAATGGCAAATCATACCACAATGAAATATATTTTTTAAAAAGGCTTAGGGGGAAGTCTTATCAAACTCCATTATTACACATTTTTTAAATGTTTCATTCCATAGTAATCTTAAGCTGTACACATTCTTAAAATGTTGCTCCTATTTAATTTTGGGGTAGCACTTTATATTTTAGAGGTTGGGGCATAGTGCAGGGAAATTCCACAAATAAGAGGTATGCTTTTTAAATATGTATGCTTGAAACCAAAAAAAAAAGGTCCATCCAAAACCAATGTGTATACAATGATTTTTTCTCTCTCTTCAAATGCATTTGCATCCATGCAGATATTTTGTATATATTGTAAGAAGCTGACACCCTCTCAAATTAATCACAGAAGTGCCAAGCTTATGTCTTTTTCATTTTGCCGTGTTGTTTTCCTTTCTCAGCCTCATATTGTATGACAGGAAAGAAGCCTAAATAAGCCTTAAGTACTTGTAAAATACTGAGAGCTTTTAACAGGTTAAGGTGTTCTGTGTATTGTTTTATAAAGGCCAGTCTCTCCTCATCCTCAGGACTCCTTTCAGTTTTTAAAAGTGCATATACAGCATCCAGATATCCATGTCTTTTTGAATTTATTTCTGTAGTAATTATTTTTCAAAGCATAGCTTTGAACGTTACTTCCTACCAAGCTACATGTGGTTACTGTCATGGAGGATAGGATTAGAAAAAACGACAAGAATATTGCCATGTGCATAACCAGATAACATTGAATCCTGTTTAAACAGAGAAGTGGCATTCATGAAACAATAATTTAGCCTCTTCCCTTCTTCCAAGCATCCAAGCTCTGCCATAATCAAGTTTTTCATCACTTCTCTAATTAGCAAATGTGAAAAGCCATAATGGCAAATTCCAGCAACTAACTAAAGTGTAGTAGAAACAAAGCTTGCTTGTATGGATGCACTTCTGCTGGCCAACCAAAAGTTTATTCCAATATACAAGGCAGCATCCCACTCTGGTTTTGTTAGCGCTGGTGCTTGCAGATGCAGTTGTGCTTAGGGGTTTTCTATGCTGGGATGCAGTGTCCATGCTAATTAAGCAATGATGGTCATTAAAGCAGCCATAAGATAAACACATTGTTATCTTTTATTACAATTGCTATGACATCAGAGTAGTGTAAACTTAACCTGCAATCATATCCAAAACTCCAAATTTTTGATTATTCATTGCTATAGAAGACTGCTTTGGAATAAGCTTTAAGTGCATAATGAAAAGCAACTTACTTAAAAGCTTTTTTCCCAGTCACAGGTATTTGGGCATGAGCTATTTATAATTTGGTTAATCATATAGAAATCATTTCAATCTGTATATAAATGTTTTATTCCTTTAAGATATATTACCCATTGTGTATTAGCATTAAAAAAACAAAGCAAAGCAAAATCTGATACTTATCAAGTTATGTTTGAATTTATTTTTAGATTTCCCTGGGTCAGTTAATACTATACCAATGTTTTGGGATGCCTTTCTCCAAGCTTTATTGACAATTGTGTGAATCAGGTGGTTTGGCATGACAATCATTTTTAAATCCATTTGATTTAACTCATGAGTGAGCAACTTGTGGTCCTTGGGCCAACTGTAGCACCTGAACTTTTATTTATTTGCTTTATTTGCTTGTTTATTTAGACTCAGAACTATTAGAGATTGTGCTGTTGAAATTCAGTGGAACTCAGAAAAATAGCTCCTCGTTTTTTAAAATGGGGAATATAAGAAATAAGGGGCACAAACCGTTTACCATACCTAAATAAGAAAAATACTCTTCCTGAAACTCCAGCTCCCATTACTAATGTGATTTATTGTGCTTATAGCGCAGCATTAGCCACAAAAATGGTAGGCACTTCCATTGAGCATGTTGCGGTCATTACATAATCCTTGCAATGTAGTGACATTACTGTTCTACAGTAAATGAAAAAAGCAGTGGAAAGTCTGGAATGCAATTACTGGAATTTAAGGTTAATATTCTCCAAAGTCAGCAATGAATTTTACCTTTTCTCCCTGACCTGAAAAACAAATTGGAATAGATTCTGTATGTAATGTGCTCAAATCCTCTTTTCCAATATAAAATGGCCCTATAAAATATTTTATGTAATGCCACTTTGTGTTTAAGTATATTGGAGATTAAAATAAATAGGTGTGAAATTTGGGTTTTGTTTTGGGAGAAATGGTAACCACAGTAGACAATGCCATTCAATATGGCTACAAAGGTCAGTCTGTTATATTAAGTAAAATCTTTATGTAATTCACAAAACATTGTAATGTGCGATGTGATTTTTTTTAAAAAAATCAGACCACACTGGTCCCCAATTATGTACATATGATAAAGAGTTGGGGTAACATTTTGTTACACTAACAATTTCATAAGAAATACAATTTCTTTTCTAAATTTCTCCTCTGCTGTTCAGTTCTGTATAGATATATTTAAATACACAGATTATGTATAGATTATAAATGATCACACAACCACAAAGCTCACAGAAATGAATTGTCATGTTTTCAGTGGTCCTAGCCTTACATAATCAACCCTGCTAAGATCTATATTTATTTTATAAACATTCATTTACAATATTTTGTAAAGAACATATGCAACTTAATTTTTCCCCACACGATATTATTGTAATGAAGTTCAACATAATAAAAAAAATCATTTCAGTTGTTATATTTTTGCTTCATTGATAGAATTCAACTCGACAGGAAATGTATGGAAATTTTATATTGCTTATATTGATATGCTGCATGATCCCACTGAATTCAACCAATTCTCAGAGAGGAAAACTCCACTACGCAAATTAACAATATATTCTAGGTGCATGTTAAAATAAATTACATAGAACTGGAGTTGTACAAGATTTTCTTTACTATGCAATGATAGATATTGCACAAACTTAAAATTCAAAGACAACTGTCTGAGGAACTTTACAAAATACTTGAATTATTTTTGATCTAAAAAGCTATCAGTCATTTTCTATTCATTGTTGCTTTCATTAGTATTCATACAAAATCGTGATTATTTTTAAGGTGCACAATTTAACATATTTATTTTGTCTGAAGCGAATATTCGTATCTTGTTGGCTGCAGATGAATGGGAATTCAGTTATTGTTTTGCATCTTAGTAAATTAGTATTAAAGACTTCATAAACATGGAAATCGGCTTCTGTATTTTTCTTTCCTGTGCTGTTATTAAATTAAATTTTACATCAGACCTAAATTTCAAGAAAAGGAAAGCTGTTTGATATTTTTTAAATAAAACCATTGGGAAAAGAGTTTCCAAGTTCACTTGGAATTCACTAATCTCTCCTGTTAATAAATGTGTAATGTTGGATGTCCTTGTAATTGAAAGAAGTAAATATTTATGAATATGTAGTTCAGCATATTGTACATGGACCATTATGCATCAAATGAATGTCTTATGGGTTAATAACACCTATTGGGAAAATCTTAGGACTCATAATGATTCAGCCCTTTCTGAAACTAATCCTACAATGGGATTACCTGGAAGTAGCCCCATTGAAAGCAATAGTTCTTTAAACTTGAAATATATAGATTGAAGTATGTTTTTAGAAACCAAAAAGACCCATCCATTCTGGTAAAAATGGGAAATATTTACATACAAGCCATGCCCAGCCAGTCACATGACCACCAAGCCAGACCCACAAATTAGGCCACACCCACAGAACCAGTTAGTGGTCCCTGAGGTCTAAAATTATGAGTTTGGTGGACCCTGAGGACCAAAAGGTTGGCGACCCCTGAATTAGAGTGCTGATAGTGCATAATACTCTTGAGGCAATTGGAATGTTATCAAATTGAAATAAAGTTGTTTTCTTTAAGAATGTTATATAGAAAATGATACATTATTCCTTCCCTTCAGAATTCTCTGATTAGTCATGGTATACATGCAATGACCTGTCTTGATCAAAAACATAATAGCAATAGCACTCAGATTTATATACTGCTTCACAGTGCTTTACAGCCCTCTCTAAGTGGTTTACAGCAGGAGTCTCCAACCTTTTGGACCTCAGGGACCACCAAACTCATAATTTTAGATCCCAGGGTTCTGTGGGCATGGCCTAATTTGTGGGTGTGGCTTGGTGGTCATGTGACTGGCTGGGCATGGTTTGTATGTAAATATTTATATAAATATTGATTTTTTTTATAAAAAAAGCAACTTTTACCCAAAATCAGGCAAAGCAGGCAGATTGAGTTGCTCACAGAATCACAGATTCATTCAGAGATCTATCTATCTGCCATTGGCTAGCTCAGTCTGTCACATAAAATTTGCTTGCAAGCAAACTCACAAAATTAACTCACAACACACCATGCATATTGATATTGAATTTTTTATTTTAAAAAAGAGCAACTTTTACCCAAAATCAGGAAAAGCAGGCAGGCAGATTGAGTTGCTCACAGAATTATTCAGTGATCTATCTGCCATCGGCTAGCTCAGTCTCTCAAATTTGCTTGCTGTGATTCTGCACTGAATTTGCTTGCAAGCAAACCTTCAGTCCTAAGGGAGGTTTGGCTGTGCTGAGCCAAAGATTTAAAGACTAGCTAGAAAGCAAGAAATCCAACCATTTCCTGCTTCCTAGCTAATCTAAATCTCTCAACACAGCAGAACAGATGATGGTTGGAAAAAGGAAAAAGAGCAATTTAGCAGGCAAGTTTACTGGGTAAAGAGTGAGTGGGCAGGGAGGGTTCCTGTGGGCCATGTATTTCTGCGCAGCCTGGATTAATTGCTTTAGGAGGGTGCTCTGGGGGTGAGATTTCTCTGCAGCCCACCAAAATTTTCTCACAGCCCACCAGTGGGCCGCAGCCCACCGGTTGGCAACCGCTGTTCTTCAGTATGCTCCCTGACATCCTGGACCTGGGTGCTCAAGACTAGTTTCATAAGGTGGGCATAGATATATGCACTTCCTTGTCTGTCCTAGACCCCAGTTTCTAGGGATCTGGAGAAAATGTGTTTTGGTACTTAAGGTGGCACTGGAGACACTAAATTCAGCTATCTTCCTTGGGGTTATAATTTCACTTTCCGCTCAAGGGAGGATCCTGAGACCCCTCTGGCTGGCTTTGTGAGTGCAAGACCTGGACTTGAGTCTAATGATCCATTAAGAGCTTCTCTGGAAAAGAGCACAGGCTTGCCAATAGAAGGAAAGTTCAGAGCAGTTTAATATGCTGCTGTAGTTTCTCTCTGAATAAATTCAGCCAGAGCTGGGAA